CCACCACCATCTTTCCTGCAGAATGTCCCCTCAGCAGCTCCTAATCCCTGCTGGAAAAACCACTATTTCCGCAGCAGACCCAGCACTTTCCACTGACCAGCACTTTCTTTATTCCACTTCACAAGCCCAGTGAACTTGTCCCCAGACAAGCTTCATCCTCCCTGGGACACCTAGCCAACTTGGCACCAGTGCTCTTCAGCATCCTAGTGGTTTCTTAAATTTCTTAACTAGTCCTCCAAGATAAAATAGGAGGCACAGAAGCACACACCACCCTTTGTCCCGTGGTATTAACAAGAGGGGACCCCAAATAGAAAAGAAAAACAAGGAACACACGTATAGAGTATTTTCTTTCTGGAGGTATTAGCTGGGGAAACCTATAATGCACTGTCAGTCTAAAAGGTACATCTTCTCAACCTCCTTGTACCTCTCCTTCAGTACCTTTTGTCACTGGGTTTTTCTTCCTTCTGCCCACCTTCTAATCTCCAGACCAAGCTCTTATTCTTTATTGACACTCGCTAATTACCGGGCAAACACTCTGCTTCGCTCTTGCTACCCCCACCCCCATCTGACCCTCCTCAGCACCAGTTGAAATAGATGAACCTGATTTAGGTACCAAGTAGGTAGAGCACCTGCGCGTATGGTCGCGGTATCCTGTCAACCATCGCTCAACCTCCTTCCCACCCAGCTCCTCCGAACCCCAGAAGTTCGGCAGGTCTCTGCCGAGGGGGGACAGTAAGCCCTACGACGTGTGCGCAAGGATGTGTGTTGATGACAGAAACGCAGGCAGTTCGGACCGGCTGCTCAGCTCCGCATGCTAAGGGGTTAGGGGTGGGTGGAGAGGTAAGGCGCATATGACTGTTTCAAAAAACATTTTAAACAACACACAGCCAAAAAAAGAAATAAAGAAAACAAAATTTAAAAATTCAACTCAAAGCCCACACCAACGCAGCCCCTGCGTCTCCGCCGCCGCCGCCACACGATTTACACAAGCAATTTAAATCATTCACCTGCTGCCAGGTCTCCTCCAGGGATGGCAAAGCTGAGAAGTAGCCGGTGTCGTGGACAAGTTGTAGCTCCTGGAATATACTATAACTAGCCAACACGTCCATGCTGCTGCTGCCGGGCAAAACGGGAGGAGAAACCCTCCCCCGAGCTCAGTTGGGTCTGTTTGTTTGTCAGTCTGTCTGGCTCACCCCCCAGGAAGGCAGACATCCAGTGGCCCTTTTGTTTTGTTTTGTTTCAGTCAACTAAAAAAAGGAGAAAAAAAAAAATCAATGCAGGAGAGAGGGAGAGAGGAGATGGGAGAGGAGAGAGTGCGTGGGGTGGATGGAGAGAGGGATCCAGCGTGTACAGTGCAGATGACTGCCAGGAAAAGGGGACTTCACGGGAGTAACAATTCCCTTCCAGGGCTCTAATCACTCCAGCTCGTGGATGAGGAAGGGGGACGCAAACTCACTGACACGAAGCTGCCATCTATATCTGCAGCGCTGTTCGCTCCTAATGCAATCTTTGCTCTTTATTTTGGGAGGTTGCATTTTTTTTCTCGCGATCGCTTCTCTCCCCCCCACCCCTTCCCTTCCCTCCCCACCAAAAAAAACCTAGCTAGTTTGTAGTCCCCCCTCCCTTTTCTCCTCCTCCTGCTCTTCCCCCTCCCCAAACTCCCTCCCTCCGCCCGGCTCTGCGCGCAGCCGTGGGATCTCGGAGGAGGGCGTCCATTAGGCCGCGTGTGACCATGTAAGGTAAACAGGGGGCTCATGAAGTCACTGAGGACCAATGCGGCACTCGGAGCGGGCCCCGGGGCGGGGCCTGGCCCCGGCGGCGGGCGCGGATTGGCGTGCTGCGGATCTCCCTGCTGCCTTACAAGGCGGTGCGAGGCGAGCTATTTTTAGAGGGCTATATAAGGGCGCCGAGGCGGCCGCCCGGCGGCCGGGGAGCGCGAGCGCCGGGGAGGGCTGCGGCGATGTCGCCGGTTCCCCGGACGCCGAGGTGGCTGGGCTCGGGCTGCGCACTGGCCTCCGACCCTCGCTGCCAGAGCCCCTGGCGCCCGGAACCTGCGCTGTTCCCTCCGCGGGGACAGGCCCGTGGGTCGCCGCGGGGACTGGGCGGTGCGCGGCCCGGAGCCGGGTTAGGATGCCTCCTGCAGGAGGAGCCGGGAGGACTGCGCCGCACCGCCGGGGACCAGTGACACTTTGCACCCGGCTAGACAGGGGCGGAGGGCAGTGAGGGCGAGGCCAGGCCCAGGACAGCATCACGAACCAAAAAGTAACCCAGAAAGGCACCCAGATCCCCTTCCCGAGCTCCCCACGGGCTGCCCCGGTGCAGAGAAGGTGCACCGGCGGAAAAAGTACCTCACAAAGACAGAGAACAAAGGCGAGGGGCGCGGAGACTCGGCCTGCGCCCGCCCCCTCCGCCGCACGCTGTCCCCGCCCCGCCGATGCGCGCCGCTGATCGTCCTCCCCGCATGGTCCTCTGACCCTGAGCGAGAGGTCCTGGCCGGCACCCGGGCGCTGGCCAGGAGCGCATAGAATGCGAACCCACCCTTGAGTGCGCGAGTGCGTTTAAGAGAATAGGGGGGAGCCTGGGTAGAATTAGGGCGCCGGCTGGAGTGGGCTAGTGGATCCATAAGGGAGCTTTACCATGTGGACTCCTTGGAGAGTGCAGAGCTGGAATGGAGCTATAGAGATTCTGGTGTCCTTAAGACGTAATATATGACTCAGGGATTAAGAGCGCTGGCTGCTCTTTTTGAGGACCCGGGTTCGATTCCAAGCACTCTTCATGGCCTCTAACAACCATCTGTAACTCCAGTTCCAGGGAAACTCTCTCCTGACGTCTGCAGGCATTGCATGACAGGGATATATGCTTACATACATGCAGGTAATACACTCACACAGAAAATAAAAAATATTTTGTAAGAGATGGAAACCATTTACAGTGCGTGTTGAGTCACCCAGTTGTTTGCTTGACCTTATGTGGTTAGTGTGGTTCAAGTGTCTCCAAAATACACCTCAAGCTGAGCTACTGTGGGGATAGTTGCAGAATTGAGTGCTTACAGTTTGTACCTCTCCACTTTAATCAGCTCCATGGTTTTTTCACCCTTTGACAAAGTGAAACTATTCATCACAATATCTGATTTTGTGTGAAACAAAAATTTCTTATTCTTCAGGGGAAATTAAACTATTGGAATTGAAGAAAAGCAGATTTATTTACCTGTTAGTACCTGAGATTCTGTTGGTCAGATTTACAGAACTCATTGTATAACTGGTGTCTTGCTATCATGCAGACGCCTGGGGTGTGCAAGGATGCTGCTTAGCTGCATCCTTGAGCAAATGGCAGGCGCCCGGACTATGCACTGTGGCAACAGGAATGTCAGTCTCTGCCTTAGTTGTTAGACAAAACACTGTTGCAATTCGCCAAACACAGTATCTAGCACTACCTGGTAAATGCTAAATGTTAGTTTCATTGTCTCCAGACTTTAAACTAAATAGTATCTGAACTAATAGGTTCCATGGGGAACAGCCCAGAGTCTTGAAGGAGGGGAGGTAGAAGCCCTTTGCTAATTTGTTAGGCAATCTCATCCTCTTGATACCTGGCTGGAGGGTCTTGAGCAAAAATCTATTGAGAGGGATGATCACAAGTTATATTCATGAATAGTAATTAAAAAGAGAATTTGGATATAGAAGGTAAACCAAAAGGCAAAATCAAAGCACATAATTTTGTGTTCGAGACTCAAAGCAATTTAATTTTTTGTATTTGTCTTTTATGCTATTACCATTTTTGAGCAAAATATATCTGTTAACTTTTGAGTTTGAAGATTTTATAAATGGCGACCACACACCATGCTGTATGTACATAAAATTTTCATAAGCAGTGTCTCATTACTCCTCAGGACAACCCAAACATAGGAGTTAGATGAAGATCTCCAGGCTTAGAAACATTACATAAGTTGACCAAGTTCACATAACCAGGATATGACCAGGCAGAGATTCAAGTTCAGGAGTAGCTGACTCCTAAGACTGCTCTATTTGAGGCTCTGTGTGGTGAAATATTGGGATTCTTGGTTTTAAGATGTGTTAATAAAAATTGCTGGAGTGAGTTGGAGGCCTGCCATTGAAACTCTCCCCATGTAACTATCAGTGACACAACTTACAAAAGAACTCAACAAAAATTTTAAAAATAAATCCCATAAATAACATTTTGAGCTCTTTTTCAGAGCGTTATAAGACATTTAAGAATTCATTCTAAGATTTATGCAACAAAGTACTCTAAAAGGCCTGCTTTCAGCATTCATCTTTAGGTATTTTCAATAGCCTAGAGACCCTAGGTTCGAATTACAAAATACATAGGAAGTATCCCAATATCCAAAATAATCAACAACTTAAGATCACAAGGGAATACTGGTAGTCAATCAAGCCAAAAATAAACCACACTTTTGTAACTACCATATATCGAAAATCTTCGCCGTACCTGGTGTTTTATATTTGTTCATATCAGTTCTTCACTGCTAACACGAGGGAACTATTGATGGTCTGTTTTTACAGATGAAGGTGCTGAAATTCAGAGAAGGTATATAATCTGCCCATTGCTGCCTGTCTATTAAGGGCAGAAGCAAATTCAAATATTTGTCTCCATTGTGACTTGAAATTCTGTCTCCTGGGGTAAGCATTGTCTTTGGAGACACTGATAATAGGATTTCTAACAATAATATCATCCTTTGGAAGGAATATGTTGGAAATACCAAGAGTAAATAATGTTAATCCTAAGAACTGAGAAATGAGGATATTTTAATCAAAAATAAAAGTATGTAAATAGATACTATTATGGTTTAAATCTGAAATGTCCTCCACAGGTTCATGTTTTGAATATTCTAAAAGCTGTGGGCCTTAAGAAGGTGGAGCCTTGCTGGTCTAACAGGTAACAAGTGGTGGTCTTTAAAAGTTATACCTGCCTCGCTTCTTGTCCAGCTGTGTATCTGCTTTCAGGTCCACTAGATATGAATATTCACTTCATGATCCTGCTGCCACAGATGAAGCCCTTAACATGCCTTCCCACCACAATGAGCTAAAATCCCTCCAAAACTATAAGCCCAGATAAGCCTTTCCTCCCTGAAGTTGTTTCTATCAAGTGTTTGCCCACAGTGACATGAAAGTAACTGGCACATACAGGTCACTAACAGACAATTAAGGCATCAGTTACCCCTGGATAAGTTTGGCTTCATTTGTACTGGAAGAACTTGTTATCCTGGTGTGATTAATACTGGTAAAGGTTGTTCAAAGGAAATATACTTGAAACAGGGATCATATTTTAGAACAATTATTTAATGAGTTTTTGGGAACTTTATTTGAAAACTCAGTGTTAAACATAGGTAGCACTAAGTAGACACAGCGGATTTTTAAAATCGAACACACGAAGTAGGGAAGGAATAGTGAGGGGAGGAGTTAGAGGAGGAGTGGAGGAGAAAGAGGGTGATCAAAACACAATATATGCATGTATGAAATTCCCAAAAAAGAAACAAAAACTAAAATAAGACACTTATTCTACATGACATTGAGCAAAAAGTGTATTTTGTACAGCTATGTGCTAATAGTAAATGAATTAATAATAAATCAAAATTTCATTGAATTAATTTTACCCATAGAATGTGAAACACCTGTCGGGGGCCTAAACACAGTGCTTTAGAGTATAGCACTGTGGTATGCTTAGTGTTTAGAGCTGAACATGAGAGAAGCCACAGAAGCCAGAGCCTCCTGACCTGCCCCAGCCCCTCCATTACTCCCCTGAAGTAGGTGGTAGAGAAACTAGGATTCTTTTCCTCCAGCATGAGCCATAACAGCTAGAAATGTCACTCTCTGACTTCCCGCCTTCCCTTAAGACTGTCTGGTAACATGTACCCTACCTCATACAGGCAGAAGAATCTGAACGTGGTGCCTTGCAGTTTCCATTTGGTCATACGCCCTTTGTTCAATCATATTTTTATACAACTGTCCATTTTTTATAAAGCATACGCATAAAAATTCAGTTTTCCTTGCACCTTTGGGGCTTCATTTTTGAAGGGCTTCATGTCACACAAAACTTGTCTTAAATAAATCTGGTATGCTTATAAAACCAATCTTTTGCTATCGGTGTGTAGGGCATGAACCTTGCAATGGGGGAGGGAAAGTTATCTTTCTCCACTGCAGAACTTACAACACACTTTCATACCATAGACTTTCATACCATAATTCAAAACAAGGTCATTTTTTAAACATGTTAGAAGGCTTCACGTTTCCTCAAGGTTCTCAATTCTTCCACATTCAAAGTATTCTTTTCTGAAGCAACAATATAGTCACCTTGCCTGTTGATTTTTCCCTTCACTTTCAGTTTAACACTACAGTTCTCATTTGCCAGTGGCTTTGCTGACCTCACTTTCATTGGCATTATGAAACCTTATACCTTTTGCAAAATTTGCAATTTCACTTTGCAATTGAATTGAATGTGTTTACATTGTATTGCCTTTGTCCCCATAGGGAAGAGAACACTGGTATTAAAAAGGGATGTTTGATTGAGGGACTAACTAACAAG